AGGGATCAGTAATTTATCTGTGCCTTGTACAGTGAATAAAAAAAGGGTCTGGTGTGCAGAATCAAACAGATTCAGAATTTTCATTGCTGCGAACTTCTAAAATGTTGTTTCTTTGGAATTCTAGAAAAGTAAAGCACACATCATATCATTTCTAGATTAAACAGATTTAGGGAATAAGAGAAAAGAGAATGTACTTTGCCATGTGGGATATTAAATATTGATTGATATGTATTTAAAAGGCCAAGGATATTGGGAGTGGACTTCCCATCTCCCTTTCATTGTCATCAATCTTTATTACAACTTTCATTTGGTTTCCACACAGGTGGTTGACCAGATTGATACCCTGACATCGGATCTGCAGCTGGAGGATGAGATGACTGACAGTTCCAAAACAGACACATTGAACAGTAGCTCAAGTAGCACAACGGCATCCAGTTTGGAAAAGGTGAAGGTGCGAGCCAATGCGCCACTCATCAGACCCCCAGCCCACCCATCTGCCATTCTCACAGTGCTAAGGAAGCCCAATCCACCACCGCCACCTCCACGATTGACTCCTGTGAAGTGTGAAGACTCTCACCGGCCAGTTATCCCTGCCAACCCTGTAAAAACTAATGGGACACTATTACGAAATGGAAGTTTACCGGGAGGACCAAATAAAATTCCAAATGGTGATATATGTTGTATACCTAATAGTAACTTGGACAAAGTTCCGATGCAACCTCTGATACACAGATCTGAGAAAGACAGGTGTCCTCAGCCTGGAACACGAGAACGGGTACGATTTAGTGAAAAGGTGCAGTACCATGGCTATTGTGCTGATTGTGATGTTCGGTATAATATTAAAAATAGGGAGGTTCACTTGCACAGTGAACCTGCCCATGTGCCAGGAAAGCTCCCTCACCAATGTCCTCCCTTACCACCACCTCCTCCTCCGCTTCCTCCTTTTCCATTAGAAAATGGAGGAGTGGGAATCAGCCCCAGTAGTAGCTTTCCTCCTCTCAGACCTGCAACTGTGCCTCCACCAACTGCACCAAAACCCCAGAAGACCATTTTGAGGAAATCAACCACTACAACAGTGTGACAGATCCTGCCTGGAAAACTGTTCATTTTTCTTACATATAAACATGGAAAAGATAACGAGCACTTTCTACTCAAGCAATAAAAAGCCCAAATATATTACACCCTTTCTTCTGTGAAGTGGCATAAAAAGAATGTGGTAAGTACACAGAAAAATTGTTTGATACTTGATGCACAAATTCAGTAGTTTCATTGTTAAACCCCATCCTCACTATTGTAGTACAGGTTATTCCTGGTATATATTACTAAGTGAAAACATCCTTCTTTATAGCCTAAAGAATTAGCTATTAATTTGAGAAACTATAGACAAACAATAACAATTAGTATTAAGTAAAATCCTCTATAGAAAATGCAATAATTTGTCCTGCAATGTAGGTTTAAAGCAGGAAAGCAGAATATGTGATCTTGTAGGTGTTTGACTTGCCCATAATTCCTCACCAGTGGTATTCTGGCCAGGGTAGATGTGAGTTGCTGGCCAACATCTGGAAGACCACACATTTCATGTCAGTTTTATAATACATCACACTTTCAAAATACATTTTGCATATATTTATACAAAATAATCTGAAACTGCAGACTTCATAGATTAAAAGGGGATTTGCAACAGAAGCAAAGAAATCATCTGCAATATATATTGTAAATCCATTTCTCCCTCCAAAACTGTGAGCTGTTCTTTGACAACCCAAATGTTCAAATGTTCATCATCATTTTAAAATGTCCAAGAAGAACAATTTGAGGATAACAACATTTCCATCAAGAGATATGGTAGTTTTCACTGACTGCTCTGAAAAATGGAATAAATGTTCGTTAATGATAGGTCATATGTTATGCCTGAAGTTTCTTCCTTATATTTTCCTTCTGCAAACAAAACAAAACCAAACCCAATCCTGTTAATAGCAATGAGAAATTTGCCATAGGTTATCAGCTCAGTAGCTTAAATAGCTGAACAACTTTGAAGATATAAAACATTGTCCAGAAAGATAATATTAGCATGCAAAAGACATTCTCCATTTCAAGCTACAAATTCTTTGTACTTGGTTGACTGTTGAAGTGATTGGGAAGAATACTTTGAAGTTTAAAAATGGTTGCAAAGTCAATAGTATTTACAGTATGTGGGTTGTAGGGGAAAATGACAGATGAATCAGTGAAGTGTTCTTACAGTAAGCCTTTCATTTATAAACATTCTTGTAATAAACCACAGAGAAGGTTGCAGAGAACTCTTACACACATCTTTTGTTCAATTATAAATTATATGTGGAAGAAGTTACATGAAAAGTGACTACATGGGAATAGCATTGATTTAGTCTTAGAAATGTAGTGGTTATATAATTGACTTGTGTGACTGGAACCCTGAACATTTACAGAAAATCTCCTACCTTCCTGTTACTTGTAGTTTCAGGGCATCCTATTTAGCCACTTGGGAAGATAGTTGGCTATTATGAAATGGTATTACTATGTGTCTGGTGGGGAAGACTGGAGAACGAAAGCAAAAATCAGGGAATCCCACTTTTTGTGAGTGGAAGAAACTTACTCGTCAACCGTAGCACCTTCATAACTAAGCTGCTAGAAGTCCAACCTTTAATAAAACTATTAAATTAAAATGGTATTTCAGTAGCTGCATTTAATTCTATGCTTTATCTGTTCATATATCTGTAGCCTTGGTTCAGCAGTGAAACAAAGCAAATGATGAAATGACCCAACAAAGCAAATGATGAAATGACACAGTCAAGCCAAAGTAAAGCACTTTAAAGTCCCATTGATTATGAAGGGAAGGAGAATAGCACATGATTAACTTGATTTAGCATGCATAATTAGAGTGCAAGCCAGCCAAAACATTTGTAGTTAAAGCTGTAAGTGAAAGGTTTCATTTCATGCAGATATGCTTTGAGGTGAAATATTTGAGCTCAGCATTGACTCATTCGTTTACCCTGGGTTGTGTTTTAAGTCTTAACACAAGATCAGGCAACCTGGATGTGCTCCAGATGTTTTGGACTACAACTCTAATAAACTTCAGCCAGTCAGTTATGGGAATTGCATACCTCTTTGGCATTGGTACAAATCAAACAAGCTTTCCTAACTGTTACACACTGTTCAATTATTGTTCATATTAAAAACCCACTCAGGCTGCAAACTTAGAGACATGTCCCTGGAAGGAAATGGATATTGAATGCACTTACATTTCCTTCTAAGTAGACATGTTCTCATAGTAGATGATTCTCACGATCATTTGTGGACATGGATATGTGTATTAACATGGGAATGTGCAAAGCCCCCTAAACTCTTGGATACCTTGTTCTGGGGTGGGATGCACTTGTCAGCATTTCTGGATACCTTAGTAAGACATTCCAATTCATGGACTGTCAGTGCAACTGTACTAATTCTTGTTGCTATGTCAGTAGGACATCCGGTGTAAGTTGGCTAATAGGTGCAGGTTATAAGTGATTTTAGAAAGGAATGCCTGTAGAACACATAATCATCTGTTGACTGTCTCATTGGTTGCAGTTAAACTAAGACTGTGAGTTGTGGCTTTTACTGTCGGCAGAGTTCTCCCAAGCTGGTTTGGAATCAAATTTTGGGTGATGCTTAACTTTTAAAACCCTGAAATTCCTCTTCAGGTCAGAATGATAGAAGTAATTCTGCTTCTCCAATGTTTCCCTTATCCATGCCCTGCATTATAATCCACCCTGTTGAAAGGGCAAGTAGGATTGGCTTTGTTTGCCTCCATTTCCCATAATTGGTCTCTAGCAAGCTGCATCACTCTTCCTTTACAGTGCACAAAGATAATTTTTACACTTCTTTTTGCTTTTATTTCTGACACATTTCTGAGCTAACCATCACTCCCTAACATTCTCCTGCTCCTTCAAAGAGACCACCCTTTATCCCCTGTGCCTCGAATACATGGAACTGCTTCTCAGAAGATGCTTGAGTTCTGCCCTCACTCTTCATTCAAAGGCCTTGCAAAACGCAAGCTTCCCTTGAAGCCTTTGGCATATAGACCCTAGTTTCCAGGTGCTGCTAGGCCTGCCAGTAAGTATAAGGGTACTGGTTTTCCTGTTCACCCTACCTCCTCCCACTGTTCTTTATTGTGTTGAATTTTAGATTACACATTCCTTGGGGCAGAGACCTGTGCTGTGATTCCCCATGAAGTGCTGTGCACCCTGAAGAAGCTGTATAAATATTGCACAATAATAACAATATGGCTCCCAGTAGTGGTAGAGTACTTAGAAGAGACATTTGGAGGTCAGTTGTGCTAGCTACCTCTGGGTCCTTTGAGGATCTGAATCTACACTGTTGCCACAACAGTGGTTTGTACGATACAATTAGTAGGGTTAGCACAATTAGCACACCACAAAAAGAAGGAGACATGCAGCATCTGCTATTCCCTTAGTATGAGTGTTGATAATATCTAGCATCTCCAGTTGGAAAATGACTAACACAGCCCGCCTTAAAATAAATAAATAAATAAATAAAATCAAACATCTATCAAATCTAAGTAATTTTCAGATCACTGCCAGAGATGCTGAATCCGTGCCAAATATCCAGGGGGCAAATCTGCATGATTCTAGAAGAAGGTTGGTTGGCAAAATATATAGAATATTTAGCACAACTCATTCCGATTTGGGTAAAGGGTCCTAGAATGTAAAGATTATTCTTAGATACTTGGGAACCAACCATACTTTCCCAGTATCCTGTTTCATTTAATTTCTCTTTTTGGCTTTGTACCTACTGTAGACAGTTTATAACAGAATATCTTGCTGAATCCTAATTTAAACATATGAATACATTACAAATTAGTAAGACTTTAAAAAACATGGAACATACTTCTGCAATGTAATAAGCCATTTGTTTTTATACCCAGCCTGCTGAATCCCTGAAAAGCTGCCGTTTACCTCAAGAAGCAGTAAAGGAGGGCAAGGGGTGATCACAAAGCTGTTTACTTTTTGTGTGTACACATAACCACTAGGTACTCACTACATTTTCATTGCTGGCAATGTCTGGAGGCAGAGTACATTGTTGAGAACAGACTCCTACCAGGCTGTGCTGCTGTGGATATAAAAGCTGCTGTGTGTGCTTATTTATTAGAGCATAGGATTACTTGCTGTGTTCATATACTCCTTATTTCCCCAGAGAATGGAAACAGGTTGTTGCATTAATAAAAGGCATAATTGTATGGTAACAGAACAGACGGTATGGTTGTACCTAGGAATGTCACTGACATTTTAGATGTGCCGTTTGTAGTTGACAACAAGACAAAGGGAATGAATGGCTGTTAGCTTTATGAAAGTAAACATTAAGGTAATTGGTTTAACCTTAGGAAAGCAGAGGAAATATTTTATTTGAAGAAAAATACCAGTGAAAATTGCAATTCAAAATACACCTCCAGCATAATACAAATGCAAACACCGTCACTGCTGCACTGTACACTATGAAGTCAAATCATTGGATGATGTTTCATAACATGTGTTAACAGGCACAGAAGTTGTTGGCCATAGCCAGCAGCCAGATGGCTACACCAATCAATAGCCTTGCATTTTGTCAGGGAGAAGACAAAATGTGAAAGGCCTAAACTTGAGGCATGATTGGAGTTTTGGTCATTTTACTTTATTTTATTATAAGCACTGAAATGTAGAAGTGAGGAAGTTGGGGACAATTTATTTTAAATATGCTGACATTTTGAAACAAGTATTAAGTCAAGCTTTCTCTCCACTGGACCTAACATTTCATTCTGAATTTTAAGCTAGTGTTTGAAAGGGTAGGAAAGAGTTGATTTCAATATGAGAATGACTGATAAGCATCCACAGATAATCTCACATGTTGTCACATATATTGTCATTATGTTTGAGTTTCTTCCTAATTTTTTCTATACTCTTCTGATTGTTATCATGACTCACTAGTAGCCTGCAGGAAAAAACAAAATAACCAATAGAGGAGAACAGTCTGAATTATAAATATCTAATTCAATAACTATTTTCAAAGCTTTTGAAAATGTGAATCCATTTTATATATAATACATGTGACCTTCAATAAAATGTTGCATAGAATGCCACTCAATAAGCTACTCCATTCAGGTTTCTTCCCTATTGATCAGCATCCTCTGATCACTGAGCGTACTCAATTCCCATTGAGGTATTTTTGGTT